TTTGGCTCAGTACTTCCGGGTATCTGTGAGCAGATGCTTGGAAAACTCTTAAATCCATACTATGGTAAGTACACACATTAAGTTTTGCGCACTTTCTAAAAATCCATATTGGTGGTAAGTGTGCACGTTATGCTTTGCGCACTTTCTAAAATCCACATTGGTGGTAAGTGTGCACGTTATGCTTTGCCCACTTTCTAAAATCCACATAAGTAGTAAGTGTGCACATTATGCTTGCCCACGTTTCTGAAATCCTGTATGGTAAGGGTTACGCATTATGAGCCTCGTTCCCTTTCTCTGAGTTGGTTTAGACCCGGGTACCTTGGGCTCTACTCAGCTAGTGTGTCTCTGTCGACACACTCTGGAAGCATCACTCCCCTCACCATTGAGGGTTATTGTGAGCATGGTGTTTTCTTTCGAGTGTTTAATTCTCTCTGAGGAGTTGGATTCCTCGCTCCATAGGCTGTTCTATGTGGTAGTGCTGAGCAGTGTTCCCCTTTTATCAAAGGGTTAAACCTATGAGCACGCTACTTCTTCTGAATTCGGAGTTCTCCTCTCACATGAGAGTTGAGTTCTCTGTTTTTCCCAGAGCACCTGGAACCAGCAGCATCAGGCGAACTAGGCCTTTCCTCTGCCTCTCTGATGTGCTGAGTTGTTTGGCTAGCTTGCAGTACACTTACCCTTCTGATTCTAACAATCGCGCTGTAGGTCGAGCCCCCCTCTCGACTGAGAACTGGGTGTGTTGCTCCCACAGCTAAGTAAATTATTGTTAGCTGTTCCTGCTTTGGAACATGCTGCAGGTCGAGCCTCCTCTCGTTTGAAAACTGGGGGTGTTACTCCCTCAGCTAAATAACTGTTAGCTGTTCCACCACTGGAACATGCTGTAGGTCGAGCTCCCTCTCGATTGAGAGTTGGATGTTTGCTCCCTCAGCTACAGATTTACTGCTAGCCACTCCAGCATTATAAGCCTTAGATCGAGTTGATGACTTCTCAAACATAGCGTTTTGGGATGCACCTTTTCCATCTATGGGCAGCTCTTTCAGAGTACAACGAGAACCCCTTAGAACGGTATTTTTAAAATCCATGTTATGGTAAGTGTGCATGTGAAGTCTTTGTACACTTTCTAAAGTCCACACTGTGGTAAATTCGCACGCTAGTACTCTGCGTTCTTTTCTAAAAACCTGTATGGTAAGAGCTACGTGCAGCAGCCTCGTGCTCTTTCCGAGTGGTTTAAAACCCGATTTCGCCTTGGGCACCACTCCACCTATGTATTCTCTGGATACCTACTTTAACAGGGTGTTGCTACTAGGGGTCTGTTGAAACAGTTCCTTTAGCATGTGCAGAGCGTGCGGTAGCCCCTGTGTGACAGGCCAAGACTTAGTATGATTCTAGGCTCTTGGTCGTATTCCCTTAAAGGAATCTATTCCTGTTTACAAGCTTTGAGCTCTACCCCGGGCCCAGGAGTTCTGGCCCTAACAGGTAAGTTTTTTGGGGTATGTAGCCTAGGCCTTTGGCCGTAGGGAATAATGTCACTGACAGCCGTCTAACGTCCCAGGGGCAACTCCCATGGCAATATGGCAGAATTGGTACTTAGTGCTCGCCATGGTTTCTGGCATGCACTCCCCTCAGCATGGTGGCGTGGGTATACCGTTCCCCATAGCGACCCCTATCGGACGCAAGCTTCAGACAAAGAAGTGGATGATGTGTTCTCCCGGCGCCTATTTATACTATAGTCGCACCGGTAGTGACGTCATGCCTGTCGCCGGCCAACGTGTTGTTAGTGTTTTTTTAATGTATGCTTCAGACACGGGTCACGACGAGGCGTTGCCCATAGCGACCCCTAGAGGACGCAGTGTCTCGTTCCCTACTCAGGGAACCATGGTTACATACATAACCTGAGACGTTTTTATATACAAAGTTTGAATGACAAGAAGCTAAAATTGCAATTTTCATGTGTAATTTTTGTGCATACCATTAATGGAATTAAAGGAATAGCGCCCCCAAAAATTCTCAACATTTACTCTCAAAGATGATCCAATGAGTTGCTCAGCAATGGATGATTCTACAGTGAATGGGTGCCGTCAGAATGAGAGTCCAAACAGCTGATAAAAACATCACAATGATCCACAAGTAATCCACACCACTCAAGTCCATCAATTAATGAATTGTGAAGAGAAAAGTTAATTGTTTGTAAGAAACAAATCCATTATTAAGGCATTTTAAGTTTAAACTGTTGCTTCTGGCGAAAATACTATAATCCATAATAATGCTTCCTCCATCGAAAAATCCATCCCCTGTTGTCCTCTCACATCAAAATTCACTAACATATTTGTTTAGAACTGTTTTGATCAGTGCATATTTCTCTCCTGATTCAGAAGAGAAAACTTTTTCACTGGAGAAAGCAATATTACGGATAGAGAGCTTGTATTTTAGCCAAAAACATCTTCATATATTTATTACAAACACACAATTCATTGGAGTAATGTGGATTACTTGTGGATTATTGTGATGTTTTTATCAGCTGTTTGGACTCTCATTGATCTCATGAGCAAGTGATGTAATGATAAATTACTCCAATTGTGTTCTGATGACAAAACAAACTAATCTACATCTTGGATGGCCTGAGGGTGAGTACATTTGCAGCAACTTTTCACTTTTGCGTGAGCTATTCCTATAATATAATTTGCAATTAGGTCACATCTTATTTTTCCCCTTTCAACTCCCCCATGGTGAAAAAGCTGATGCCTTGTGACTAATTTATTTACGTGTCATTTTTGCACATTGATTGTACATTAATGTTGATATCAGCATATTAATGTTTAATGCAGAAAAAGTCTCACTCACTTTTGCAATGAACTCTCGCTTGGTGTAATCCACATTCTCCTCTAAGATTTGGGGAGGGACGATCCATTCTCTCTTCTGCCTGTGGAGGGCCACAGAGTTCTGGAATCTGGCTTCAACCTCAAACACATGCTATGGGAAAACAGAAATGCACAACAACAATTTGTGAAGACAGACTTATCCCGCCAACCTTCTCACACACAGCAGAAAAGACAAAGACAGAAATATTTGTTTTTATATTTGCTGCCCTGTCTGGTGAGAATGTTCTCATTTGCGGCTTTTGTAAATGATTCACTAGTGAGTCATTATAAATGATTGAAACACTGTGGTTGCAACTTCCACGCATCCATTGTTTGACACTAAGCTCATCCTGTCTGTACACAGACAAAATTAAACAGATGCCATAATTTGTGTGAAATGAGTTGAAAGAGATATAATAAACCTGAAAAGATTTGCAAACACGGGGAAACCCTGCACAGGAGTCATTAATTTATTTCACTTCTGCAGACGTCTAATTAAGGAAGATAAGATGAAGAAATACTTAGCAAAAGCGAAATGCATTCCACTTCAGTCGAGATCACCTTAATCAGACCACACACAACTAAGATAAAGCATAAGCACACAGTGGCAGAAAAATATAAATATCTCAAATATAAAATGTAATGTCTTAGTAAGGGGTTTTCTTTACTTTCTTCAACTGTGCATTTCTGAATTGTACTGAATTGAAGTTTCAATAGTTACTTTTACAAGTGTTAATAGTGATACATGGAGACATCACATATTGTGTAGTAATTACATAAGGTTTGGTACATGCATTAGGTTGTTTTATGTAAACTGAAGGCCTAATGATTGTCATATGAATAAGTAGAACCTTTAAATTTGTGACATGGAAATATGAAAGGCTAAAAACTCAGCAATAAAATGTAATTTTAACCCAAATGAGAGATGTTTTACACCAAAAGCACTCTCTCGTACACACACAGTGTATGACACATGTATGGGCATAATGGGTATGCAAAATATTAAAAACGAAAGCCAAAACAACCAAGACTGTGCTCTTTGCATATCTACCTAGCACATACTGATAAAAGCAGTAAAATCATCCTTCACTGAGATTCTCCAGTGTCAAGTACCAGGTGAAGTGATTTTCACTCATTTAGTAGATTGCACTAATTTAGTAACCATTTTACTCAACTGTTGTTCAGTAAATCAAACTCATCTTCATTAGAATTTGAGTAAGTATTACTGAGAAATGTAAATCATTAAGGTGCCAGGGGGAAGGAATTTCAATACTCCTAAGTGAATACAATAGGCAGATCCAGCTTGACTGCTGTAATTTGTGTGTCTGTATATTTGACAGAGCTTGTACTGAAATGCCCTTTACAAAAATACACCATGTTAAATAGTGGAACTTGGAAGTTCCCAACAAAATACTACAATACAATTACTATAGCGCCGTTATTATGGTAAACCTACACTCTAAAAAATGCTGGGTTGTTTCAACCCAACTTTGGGTCAAATATGGACTAACCCAACCGTTGGGTTAAATTTTTACATTCAATTTTTAACCCAAAAGTTGGGTTAGTCCAAATTTGACCCAAAGTTGGGTTGAAATAACCCAGCATTTTTTAGTGTGTATAATAAAACAGTTGGGTATCTCCATACTGATGTAAAAAAAAAAAAAAAAACTTTAATATTTTATTTAATATTTGTCTAGTTATTGACCATCAGCAATTGTGGTTAATTTCGTATCATGGTTTCATTGTAGTATATAATATAATAAATATTAGGGGTGCTCCGATTGATCGGCTACCGATCACTATCGGCCGATAATCACGTTGGGATGATTGATCTCTAAAGGCCGATCTCAAAAAAACGATCTCAAGCTGATGACGCTGCTGTGAGAGGTTTGGCACGACATGCAGCGGCACCGTCTCAGTCTGTCTGATGCGGGTAAAATAATTATAATGCTGAAGGTAAGGTACTCACCTTCATATTTCTTCATTAAATAACTTATAAAGTAATTTGAAAACCTTTTCACAAAATTTCACAAACAGCGTGAGTGAATCACCTCGCGCTCTCTTTCTCTCTCAAAATACGCAAATGGCTTCAAATCACCACATCGCATCTGTCTATAAGCGAGCTGCACGCTGCACTTGACACAGGAATTGTCACTTGCACAATCGAGGCAGTGTCACATCGTCACTAAAGTTTATAAATTGCGTTACTTTTTAATTCTCGCCAGTGTTTAATCATTCAGCGCTCACGCGCTCTCCTGGAGACCGTACGCTCACGCACTATGGAAAGCCGTTGTAACATTTAATCTATAAGCCGTACTAGTATCTATTTTCATGGTACTAGTATCTATTTTCATGGTACTAGTATCTATTTTCATGGTACTAGTATCTATTTTCATGGTACTAGTATCTATTTTCATGGTACTAGTATCTATTTTCATGGTACTAGTACCTATTTTTTAGATACTAGTATTTTTTCCATTAAGTACTAGTACTTATTCATTAGGTACTAGTGCTTATGCTTTATCTACTAGTGCTTATTCTTTAGGTACTAGTGTTTATTCTTTAGGTACTAGTGTATTTTGTAAAGTTACTAGTACTTATTCATTAGATACTAGTACTTATTCATTGATACTAGTGCTTATTTATTAAATACTAGTACTTATTTATTAGATACTAGTACTTATTGATTAGGTACTAGTACTTATTCATTGATACTAGTGCTTATTTATTAAATACTAGTACCTTTTCATTAGATACTAGTACTTATTGATTAGGTACTAGTACTTATTCATTAGATACTAGTACTTATTGATTACATACTAGTACTTATTTATTAGATACTAGTACTTATTCATTAGATACTAGTATTTATTCATTAGATACTAGTACTTATTCAATAGTGACTAGTACTTATTTCAATAGTGACTAGTAACTATTATATTGTTACTAGTAAAAAAAAAAAATTTTTGCCATTGACTTCTATGGGGATCCGTCATTGAGATATCAACTATTCAGTTTTGACTAGTATGTATTCCACTAGTGACTAGTACTTAATTTTTATGCACTAGTAGTTATTCATTAAGCACTAGTACATATTTTTTAGATACTAGTACTCATTCATTAGATACT